ATATTATGTCTATTCTCATTTTGTGTTTGATCATTCTATTGAGTTACATCTATAAGACCAATCTCCTCGTGGTCTAAGGAGTGGAAATATGATGTATAAACTCGACTATTGCATTTTTTTCTTTTTGTAGACGGTCACATCCTTTTACCGACATCCTCTTGTGTAAGGAGTGGAAAGAAAGATGTAGAGACCCATGTTTTAAATCACTTTCAACTTGTAAAGTGGCATGTTTTTGTGGGGGGTTTTCGACGGCATTTCTTTTTTGTTTCAGATAATACGCCTCCAACTTTAACCTGTAATGTCCTTTCATAAAGAAATAAGTCGTTAATATTATTATTCATATTGCCAGTTATCTCCATTTTCATAAGTTGTTCAAGGGTTCCTTGTTTCCATAGTAGATCGTAAGCCTTTTCTAGATCCAAGAAAACTGCTGCCAAAAGTTCTACATTTATCCAGTTCATGAGTAGATCTCAATAACTGATCGTGTGTTTGCCTTTTTCTTCTGAATCTCGACTGGTTGGCACAGAATAATTTCTTATTTTCAATGATGTGGATGAGTCGATTATTTATATTTAAAAACTAGGCTGAAGTTTTCAGTATCAGTGCTGACTGTCAACGATTTCCCAAAACCTTTCGTCCCAGCTCTCAAGTCACTCTAGAGGAGATAACGACAGATAGAGAGTTTGTTTTGGGAGTGTCGCTTAATTAAACTAAAGCTGTAAACTTTCAAAACTCAGTTATCTTTGGAGATTCGGGACTGTAGGAAACCATCTATGTAATTGCGTTTGACCAGGGTTAACATACCGTTACATTAAAAGTAGTGTTTTCGTTTTCGTTGAGACTTCACCGCAGAAGACACAGCAGCCGCGGAGATGGAGGGAGGCGTTGATGTGACCAAGGAGGTGCCGCCGCCACCGTCCTACTCACAGGTTACTGCTCAGGGCAGTGGTGGTAAGTCATTGACTCTTAATTAAGGAATTTTATTTTTTTTTTATTTAGGAAACAAAGTCACTCATGGGGTCCCAACAATTGCCATGACAACATGATGAAGATGATGATGATGATGATGATGATGATGATGATGATGATGATGATGATGATGATGATGATGATGATGATGATGATGATGGATGGATGGATAATAATTTTAAAAAACCCTGAACCAAAATGATTTACCAAAAAGACGTTTCCTTCTTTGTTCCTAAGCAATTTTTCATTATCTCGTATTACTATGTCTCTCTAGAGCTATAACTCCGCTCCTATTTAACCTTTGCATAAAATAAACATAAAGCTGAGTAGAAATGAATGATCCAAGAAATTAACATACATATCGTTAGCCAGCCGTTCAAATGTACAAAGTTCACAATTTTAATTCTTTTTCTTTTTTTGGGTG